ATGATTCTTCTATATTTTTGTCAAAATCTGACCCCATGAATCTATTATTGGCTCTTGCATATCTATTTGAGCATTGGGAAACTCCACCTCTAATACCTTTTTCTAAAAAAAGCACCATATCTATGTCAGTTAATAATTCTAATTCCACTTTTGTCAATTTGAGCATTGCATCAAATGCAAGCCCAGGTGCAGTGTAATAATGTAAAGGGTCTAAATTATAAGCTGATGCACAAGTTTTTCTAAAATTTTTAAATATATCAGCCAAAAGTAAGACATCTGTTTTCAAATACAAGTCTGAATAATCTCCCAAATTTTTTAAATTAAATTGATCCCATACTTGACACGCGTGTATATAATCATCTTTTGAAATATGTGAATCATTTAGTTTAGAATAAAATGCTTCTTTTTGTGGCAATTGATTTTCCTGTAATTTTTCCCAATTATCAATATATTCGTAGGGAAAAACTCCTTTTCTTGTCAATAAATTGAATTCAGTGATATTATTACAAAATTTTGCTGTTATTTTCTTTTCATCATTTTTAAGGAAATTTGCCAATTTATCCAAACTACTGGGCATAAATCTAAAAGAATCTAAAAATCTAAAACAAACCCTTTTTCCCTCTACATATTTAGTAAACGATATATATTTCTCTTTATTTATTGGCAAAAGCTTAACAGAACCTTCAAAACTTGTGCATAATTCTTTTATAAAAAAATGGGCATCATAACCTGTCAAATTGTGAAAAATTACTGGAATTATATGTGAATTTTTGTAATTTATATTACATTCCTGGTGAGCAACACCTCTATATTTTCCTGTAAAATGATTATAATCTCGACATTTAATGTCATTATTTTTAAATGGCTTTTCGCAAATAAAACAATTTTCAGCAGTTTGAAATTGCAATTCTTGTTGATAAGTTAAAGGTTCCATTGGAACTATTCTTTTTAAATAACTGTCAACTAGACTTGCAATTTCGTTTAACTTTTCCATAAACCATGAAATGCAATTTTTTCCTCTATAACTTTCAAATACTGAAATAGATTCATCAAACTCACAATTTAAATAAAATGCGACACTTTGTGGAAAATGTTTTCGATGTGCACCAGAAACTTTATCATGATTATTATTATTATTATTATTATTATTAACAGGTTCTAAAATGCTTTCAGTATCAGCGTATATAACAAATGGAACTTTTTCTTGAAATCTGAAGTTTTTAAATTTTAAAATATTTTCATTTTCATTAATAAAATAACTCTAGACTTGTTCAAACTTGTACAATCTGCTATATGATTTTCTAATGAATTTTCATATTTGAAATGACACAAGCATCTATCACAAATCCAAGTTCGACAATTACTTTTTGTCAATTGTGATTTAATTAATCGAGATAAGTTACGAATCCATGCAAAGTGATAATTGGTCTCGGTCTCATTTTTATCACCAACTGTATTTTTAATCATCAAAAGGTGAATAGTGGGTTTTTCGGAAAAGTGTTCACTTATATAAAAAGGAACTATCTCTTTTTTATTACCTTCAGCATTATCAAGTCCATAAATGTTTATTTTCAAATTATTCATTTTTTCAAATTTAGGTACGTCTGTTAATGCAATAGGAAAATTGATGCCTTCAAATTTTAATATATTTCTAAAATCAGGATAAGAACTCGTAACGCTTGGATTATTTTTAACAGGATGTAAGGCTGATAATATAGACCAAAGAAAGCAAAATTCATTTTTATTTCTAATATTCAAAACTGCATGTTTATCTCATAAATTTTGGTAATTCAGTATATGTACTACAGCCTCCTTGAAGAGGTGCATATCTATTAATATTTACAATTAAATTTATTATTCCTTTTAAAGACCAGCCAGATTCTTTTCCATTAAACTCTTCAATTTTTTGTGAAATTTGTTCAATTACATTATCAAAAATTATATCAATATCTGTAATGGGTAAAATAATTTCATTTTTTGTATTAAAAAATTTCTTTTCTTCAATCATTTCACCATCAGCTATGGTTGAAAAAATTGCTGTAAATATAAAATTTACTTTTAAGCCGCTGTTTTTCTTTAACGCATTTTTTAATCGAGATTTAATTAACGATCTTGAATCAACCAGAAATTCGAATAAATCTTTATGCTTTAAGTTAATAATAACGGCTGTTCTCACTCTATTTTCAAATGCCGATTCTAAATCTTCCCATTTAATTCTATTAGATTTTTTATTTTCATTTATTCCTACACCTTGACCTCTTTTCCGACTTTCTTTTAATTTTCTGTTTATGCCCTTTAAAATTCCTAAAGTGGCTACTATTTTATTTTTTTCACCCACTGATAAATCTTTTTTTACTCTTAAAACTTTATTTATGAGACGAATATTTTGTGTGCTAAATTAACAATTAAAACGATCTCAAAAGGAGCTAAGTAAGCAATGATTTTTATAAACAATTTTCACTTGCTTTTATAGTGTCCGTCATGAACAGGAATGTTAATGAATAATATTTCACTTACCTTTTTTTTTTTTTTGCATAAATAAATTCCTCCATCGTGTTCTTGTAGAACATCACTAGATAACATATCGTTGAATTATAAACAAAATTCCTTTGACGGAAATCGCGCCGCGCGATAAAGAATTACGGTGCAAAGTATTTCAAAACAAAAATGCATCTGCGAAGACATAAAAAACATAATGCAATTAAAAAGATTGATTTCATGAAAATGTCAAAATAAAAAACTAACCTCTGCAATAAGATATTTTTTATTATCTAGTACCTGTAGATAAACACACTTCCGTTTTTAAACGTGTTTTGACTTCTCTTAGCATTCTGAAGACAAGCTAAATGGAAAATAACAACTGACCTACAGCACAGTATCATTTATAATACTTTTATAGCTAAATGGAATATAATTATCAAAAAACGTTTTGTCTGTTCCTTGCATTTTTTATAGCAAAATGAATTATTTAAAAACGGATTTAAAAAATTGATAACGCAATCATTTTTCTTAAAACTAATTTAAAATTCCTAACTGAAAAAATAAATGACGCATTCACAGATATACAGGGGGAGTTTTGGATACGCTAAAAACTCAAAGCCTGTATCCAGAACTCCCCCTATATATCTACTTCCTTGTTTTAAATTAGTATTTAAAACCTTAACAGGTATTATCTGTTTAGTTCTGGCTTTGATTATTAAATTTGGGGTTTTTATGATTTTATTATTAATTAAATTTTCTCTTGCTAGGGATGATTCTGTATCGGTAAATAATATTGGTTTTATAGGATTAGAAGCTGTTACAAGTGTATTATGCCAGAAGGATATTTCTACCTTTTCTTGTCGAAGATATTCCCTTCCTAATATACCATCTGATTCTATAGGAAAATCGGAAGGTACTACTTGAAAAGTAATTAATTTGGAATCTATTTCTATTTTTACGGTTCCTAAAGTAGATGTCTTTATAAGAGTTATTCCAGTTATTTGTATTGCTTCATCCTGTTTGACTTCTAAATCTGGTTGTAGTACACATAATTTAATTAAATTTACATCTGCCCCAGTATCTACTAATAAAAGTGCTGTTGTTTCCAAGAAACTAGGGGAATTTATGGTGATTACTGGGGATTCTCGATTATTTTTGGCGTGCAAGATTGTTCCATTTTTCTCAAAATTCTCACGCTTGTAGGACGCTCCTTTTGTTCCACACTCGTCGTCGCGTCCGTTCGTCGAGGGATGTTGGAGTTTAAATGATCCTTTTCAGAAGGTTTAGGAGATTGCGCACGAGGGGGCGTTCTATTCCCTTCGTATGGTTTATCGTTGTGCATTTGTGGTAATGAAGAATGAGGAAAATAAGGGTAAGGATTATAATGAACATATGCATTTGGAGGATAATGATTTGGGTGTTGAAAGTATGGTTGTTGATGACTGGTAGATGGTTGGTATGGTTGATATGGATTTTTCAATATACCAAAAGGAATAGGAGATTGAGCATGATGTCTCATTGCTTCATTTGGATGAGCAAATCGTACTCTAGGACTAGGGCTTCGTTCTCTGGAACCATAATCACTTGATTGAGAATTTCGTGAATAATGATATGCATTATATTCCGCTTTATGATACTGATGTCGGGTTTCAAATTCCAAAGCAAATTTTAATGCTTCTTCAATGGTTGTAGGATTTCTAGCTTCTAGAATACTAGACATACCATCTGGTAAACCTCGGGTGAATGCTTCTAATGCACATTCAACTAAGGGTTCGATCATAGTGTTTGATCTTTCGACACCATATTTATCTTGAAGAGCAGCCTTAGCTCCTACCATCAAAAGCAATATTTTGTCGTAAAACTCACTAACGTTATCATTTCGGCCCATACGAATTGTAGATATTTCTTGTAGATACCATGTATATGACTTGCGATGAGCAAATCTTTGTTTTAAATGTTGGACTAGTTCGTCTATGGTATTAAAATTCTTACCTTGTATACTATCTCTAGCTACACCTTTTAATCTGGCAAGAATTGCCTTTAAATATTGTTTTTCACAATTAATAGGAATATTAGACTCACTATTTATTATATCTTCTATAAAATCTCTTACAGGAATGTTTTTACCATCATAAAAAGGAATATTCATTATGCCCTGTTGCAACGCAAAACACTCAGCCATTGATGTTATCATGGCATCATTTAAAGTTCTATCAATATTACAGGATAAATTACTTGTTTGTGGTCTATCTGTAGCCATGATTATAAGTTTACTAAAAACGGAAGGAATAATTAAAATATCTCGTTAATTATATCAAATGAAAATGGTAACCCTAAAATTCCAACAATATTAGAATTACTCTCACTATTAATGGTTTAAAATTCTAAAACTGTGTAATTGATGCAAACTTTTGCTTCTCCGATAGTGTTGACTGTACTATCTCCAAAAGAATTTTTGGATATAATTGATTATATTTTTCAATAAAATGAAAGTATGAGTTCATAGGGGAATACGGATAATGGCGGCTTGGAACCGTATAGCCGTATTGCTACTAGGGAGTTTTAGTGTTATCGGACTATTGTCTGTCTGACACAACTCGTCTTGTACTACTTACGGACCAACGCACTTGGTGCCAGACAGTAGTGCGAGAGTATAAATTCAAATTTTCGCGCCTGTTTACAACTGCAACCTCTTATGCTAGTATATTCGACTGATATCTTTTCTCAAGAGGACTTTATTTAAATCTAAATTTCTCCTAAATTTTGGGAATCTAAAATTTTTGTTTTTGTTCTATTGATTAGTTGTATTAAAGAGAATGATTCTATGAAATTTGAATTTTTGTTATTATCAATGTCGAGAATTATATTGACTAATATTGTATATAATATATAGTTTTATGTAAAGTTATAACCGAAATTCACTAGGATCTGTGTTAAGAAAAGATAATCCAAGAACACCTGACAATTCGGGTTGTTGATTGTTAATGTAGGTGTGATATTGATATTACAAATAAATCAAAAATTGAGACTTCTTTTCAATTGTTTGTGTAAATCAAGGGCGTAGACAGAATTCGCCGAACGGCGTAAAACGTCGAGTACAAAGTCAAAATTCGCCGGACGGCGTAAAATTGACCCTGCTAAGACCTCAAAATTCCAAACAATGATATTATCAAAATTTATTAATATGAAAACCTCGCCGGACGGCGTAGACCTCCAATTTTCAAAGCTATAGTTCGCCGGACGGCGTAAAAATAGCTTACTCAATAATATTTTGAATGATTTTATGAATTTATTAAACAGTCGGTTTTAAACACCCTAATTCTCAAGTTCGCCGGACGGCGTAAAATGAAAATATAACAAATTCTGTAATTCGCCGGACGGCGTAAGAACAAAACTGCTAGAGAATTTAAAATGACCGTTTACAAATGTTTATAGTGAAGTATATGAATAAACATTTAATGAAATATGATGTGTTTATAAGGGTGATATAATTGATTTCGAATAAATTTGAACCCTTAAAAATTTTGAAGTTTGCTCTAAATAAAGATGCCGAATTATTTGAGAATTTTCGTAAAATTGTTTTTGCAACAAAACTGACAATCCCACCGCTGCCACCAAATCAGCTGTTACGTTCCGAACTAGGCGTGGTTTTTAAATAAAATGAATTTTATTTACTTGAATGTAATAAGGCTGATTAATCAGGTTGGTAAAGCCTGATATTTATTTTTATGTAGGATCGTGGTCACTTGTCAAAACTACGGGTTTTGCGTTACAATAACAAGTCAAATATTCCCTTTTATAACATTTATTGATTAAATAATAATTATATAGTAATGATTATACAATAATGATACAAGTTTAAAATTCTTTTACTTACTTTTAGCAATGAAGTCGGATAAATCGATGATTATAGCTTAGTCGTTATAAATTGGTTTTGATTTGATTTGAAATAGTTCGTTTTGGCCGCACTTGTGTAACTTTAACGAGTCAAAATGATAACACAGCGTTATACTTGCCGTCGATTAAAAAGGATTCTCGAGAATGGACTCGTAGTTGTGTGGAATGTGAACGTTCAAAAATTACGAAACATGTTATCACCACACCAGGAATTTTCAAACTACCATCTCGGAGGTTTGAACATGTTCACATTGACATTGTGATCATGCCGATGTCGGAAAGATGCGGGTACTGCCTGACGTGTGTTGACAGATTCTCCCGCTGGCCGGAGGCTATTCCAATGGAAGATCAAGAAGCTGAGACGGTCGCCCGGAAATTTTATACTCATTGGGTAGCAAGATTTGGAACGCCATTAAGAATTACATCCGATCAAGGACGACAATTTGAATCACACTTGTTTCGTGAGCTGAATCAACTGACAGGCGCATCCCACTACCGCACTACGGCATATCATCCAGCAGCCAATGGAATGGTGGAAAGATTTCACCGTCAACTAAAAGCAGCAATTACACTACCGTCCGAAATTGTGCGAACTCTGCTTTTTCAACAACTATAAAACTGTTCAAATCTTCAAAAATATTAAAACTAAAATTTTTTCCTCTTTATTTTATTAAAGTTAATAAAATTCTGAAAGAAATGACACCTTGACAAAGAGAATATGTTAATTTTTCAATTAGATATCTAAGAAAAACCCAATTTTCAATGATTTTACTATTTTTTTTATTTCTCTGGCAAAACTTAATATTTTTAAACGTTCTAAGGCTCATTGATATCGTATTTTGTTATGCAATTCAAATTATATAAAACAATTCATGTACACATTCTTCCCTAGCGTATGCAAACCGTGAAACTTGGCTCATAAAATGTCAAAAAATTGTGATTAATATTTATATGACAAAAAATGATCAGTAAAATGTATAAATCTTAAATTTACTTACATAAATCAGAGAAGTTTAGAATGATATATTTACTTGATTTTTAAACATTATATTTTATTGTAGAATTAAATTTAAATTTTTTGACATTTTATGAGCCAACTTTCACGGTTTGCATACGCTAGGGAAGAATGTGTACATGAATTGTTTTATATAATTTGAATTGAATAACTAAATACGATTTCAATGAGCCTAAGAACGTTTAAAAATATTAATTTTTACCAGAGAAATAAAAAAAATAGTAAAAACATTGAAAATTGGGTTTTTCTTAGATATCTAATTGAAAAATTAACATATTCTCTTTGTCAAGGTGTCATTTCTTTCAGAATTTTATTAACTTTAATAAAATAAAGAGGAAAAAATTTTAGTTTTAATATTTTTGAAGATTTGAACAGTTTTATAGTTATTGAAAAAGTAGAGTTCGCACAATTTCGGACGGTAGTGTAAGTGTCATCAACACTCACGATGGACTGAAATCTTACCGACAGTGTTGCTTGGTATTAGAGCAGCATGGAAGGACGATCTCCAGTCAACAGCAGCAGAAATGGTGTATGGGCAAACGCTTAGATTGCCTGGCGAACTTCTGACGTCATCATCACAATCATCTACAGCGACAGCAGAATACGTTCAAACTCTCCGCAACCACATACAACAACTGCGTCCAGTCAACGGAAGCAGACATGGAGAACGGCGAACATTTATTTTCAAAGATCTCGCCACAGCTGAAAGTGTATTTCTTCGACATGACGGACCAAAATCACGACTGCAACTACCGTATGATGGCCCGTTCAAAGTTGTATCAAGATCTGAGAAGGCCTTCAAAATCAACATGAACGGTAGAGAAGTCACGGTCTCTATTGATAGGCTCAAACCAGCCTATGTTATGGAAGACAATGACGACAACTTTGACGATAACAACGAGGAAAGCGACGAAGAGGAGACTGTTGAGATAATTCTCAACCCAAATAATGTTCCTGTACGACGAGTGGCAAATGAGCCACCACCTAGAATCGAAAGAGTGCCAGATCCTGTTCCAGCTGTTCCACAAGCCGTCCTGCACGAAAATATTCGTACCCGTTCAGATAGACGAGTACGATTCACGGATAGGTACCAAGCTGGTTTTTCGTGATGCTATCACTAATAGGGGGGTACTGTGGCCACTATTTTAAACACCTACCCACACTTACACAAATATTTTCTAATACTCGTATAGCAAATAAAAAATTGTTAAATAAAAAATAACAAATATATTAGATAGCACACACACACACATTTAATAATTTTTACTCTTTAGGCTTATTATGTTAAATAAACAAATTATATCGATTTTTAATGGTTGTGTTCAGAAAATAATATAGCTTATTCAATTCTTAAAATTATCTATTGCAGACACTTTTGTACAAATTCAGAGTATTCCGAGTTCAGCCAGTTCAGGTGTTACATATTTAGTTGCTTCACTGCAACCATTTAAAATTCAATTAGTATTCGGCAACACTGCCTCTTATATTTTAATCTCTTTTCATCGACAAGACTCGCTATGAGAAGCAAGACCTTGTTTACGGATACCTGACACCCTGATAAGGAACCGTCGGCAGCTCGCTAATACTCTTTACTTGGCACCCTTATTTCAAATATAAAATATTATAAATTAAGTTTTTAAAATTGTCTCTAGAGGGTAACCTTGTGACAATGTTACGAAGCCAGATAGCGAAAAATATCACTGTCGCAAGGTTGCCTATCTATTTTATCATTGTTACATATGTCTTTTATTATTGGAAACATTGTAACAATGTTGTGAAGCATCATGGCGAAAATCAACATAGTTGCAATATTAGTCATCTACCTCGTTCAAGCACCACGCGTATTTGCTGCAGCAATGTTGCGAAGAAAATGTCGAGATGCAATATTGCGCGAACAAGACTACGTTTTATAAGAAAATGATGTAACGAATACAAAAGGAATTATATTAAAAAAATATATATATATGTAATAGTAAATGCAAAAGACAAAAGAAAAAAAAGAAAATATACATTCGAACATATACAACTCACCGCTTGTGGTATATATGTGGGGGACGACCAGCGCAACACACACGGACACGAAACAGCTGTGCATAAACTACAGTGCGCTCGTGGGTTCTCGGTTACAAGACTCACACCACCATGGGACTCGTCGTGCTACGGGCACTAACACACACGCGCAACGCTTGCCTCTACTCGCTGCCTTAACTGTGCGTAAAACCTTTCCTTCACCCCTCCGGGCCCGCAAGTTATAAACACAGCACCAAAACAAAAGCACGTGCGTTTCCAACAGCTGATCCGGTATTATATGCGAACGCATGTTGCCTTGGAACATTATATGCCCAATTGCAGAAGACTCTTTTATTTAATACACATTTGTTGCAACTTTGTTTCCAACAAATTAACGGAAAACCATGGGTCATAGATATGGATATAGTCACAATTGGATACGCAACCTACTTGCTATCCTCTATATGGGTTGTAATAATTGCAATAAATTATTGCACCATTTATAATGAAATTGGATTATAATTTTGTTAAATAATATTGTAATTTATGTTATTAAATTATAATTTTGTTAAGTAAATTATAATTTAATTTAATTATTTTAAAATAATTTTCAGAAATGTCTCATATTAACAGACCATTTCCGTTCTCACGGAGCCTGCATGGGAATCAAAAAGATCAGCAAAATTGCAACTCCCACCGGGCCCAGGAATTTTCACCTACTTCCATCTAAATTTTTCGTTTTCCCCACCTTGACACTGAAGGCAAGGACTAGAGGCTAGTCCCAAAATCTAATTAAACGCAGTACAACTTCTTGACTCTTCCGAGCAACATCTCCTGGCTCTAGCCTGGTAAGTGTTGCGAGACCTCAAGAACGCCGCGACTTAGCCCGTCTGCGCGTCGGACCCCCGTGTAGAACTTAGATTAAAAGTATAACACGAAAGGCGGACGAAAAATAAAATAGAAGTCTTCTAACCGACGAAGTCCACGTGAGAGCTGTAGCGGGAGAAATTCGATTTAATAAATAAATTTTACTAAATCGAATTTTGTTTAATAAATAACCGGCCAGTCCGTGCGTGTAGCGCTTGCGCCGTTTCGTTACAGTGGCCCCACAACGCAGTGTTAAAAAAAATTTATTCGGGTAAACCAAATAATTTAACCTGTAAAAATTCGAGCAATAGGTTGTAAAGACAACCAAGTTAAGTGTAACTAAAAGCGTTCTTGCCCGACGACAACAAGAATATCTCTAGCTGACGTCGATAGTCGTAAGAAAATTTTGTATCGTTCAACATTAACCACTCTATTTTGTATTAAACTTTTAAATTCACTTGTTAACCACAATATTTTCTTTCCTGAATAAAAGAACAAGTATAAATAAAATTACTAAATTTTACTTACCTTTCAACTGAACCCCTTTTTGCTTTAACACCATAAATAATTGATTTTCAACCAATCATTCAAAGAAAAACAACGAAGCAGAGCGTAACTTTTAAAAGTAGGATAACGTCCCCACAAAATTAAACAAGGTCCTTCAGACCTTGGCAGCTTGGTGCCTCCCCCAAACTAAAATTTAGGGCCATCTCAAAAGCTCGATTTAAATAATAAAATTTAAATAAATAAATTTTTGGTTTGTAACAAGGTAAATGCTGTAGACCCTTTTCACATCTGCCGTTTTTATTACTTTGTTTTTCCCAATTTATGCAAGTCTAGACTTGCAAACCTATTAGGCGTACCAAGAGAGAGTGACAAACAGTGGGACACTTTTTTTCAAAGACATATTAATATGTCAATTTTATATATTTTTGGACACTTTTTGGTATTACCATAAAGTTTGAACTCTTCTACATAATGCATATATTCTATTTAAATTATATTGTGATTAAATACACTGAGAGAATTTAAACACAGATTTCGTACTAAACACACGTTCAGATAGTGTACCTAACCTTTCGAGCAACATCGGTTCTAAATTGTATCGCAGCTGCGCCTTTTGGTGGACAGATACTGTACTAAATCGTTTGTCCCACAAGTTAGGTCAGAATCAGTACTCAATTGGCGCTGCTGCTGTTCGATTTTAGTACTGCGTCTGCACATAATTGTGGTACAATATCTGTCCCTCAAAAAATGCAGATGTTGCGTTAAACTTCTCTCAGTGTAGGAAAATTTCAAGTTTTTGGAACTTGATACATTTTTCTTGTTTTGAAAGTTTGTGTTAAACAGTGGGACACCTATTATTAAATAACACAGCCCCACAAAAAAAAAAAAGTGTCATGTACTTTTGACCGGAATACCCTAACCCTATGTATTTTGACGCGCTGAACACGAATCCGAAGTCCGTTTTGCTCCATCACGTCAGGATTTTTTTCTAACCTCAAAAAACATGTCGGATTTTGAGAAGTAGGCGATTTTTTTAAAAATTGATGTATTAACTTCAAACTTGGTATCTGGGGGTTTTTTGTGTCGCTGATTACGAATCTGAAGTTAGATTTTCAAAATACAAAATGGCGGATCCAATATGGCGGACGAATTTTGAAAAAATTTTAAGATTTACTTCAAACTTGGTATCTGGGGGTTTTTTGGGTCGCTGATTACGAATATGATGTCAGATTTGAAAAATTCAAAATGGCATATCCAACATGGACTTCTATCGGACATATTAGATACGCCATTATCTGTATCTGGGGTTTTTTTGGGTCGCTGATTACGAATATTTTGCGGAAAAACAAAACATACGTGTCAAATTGTTTTTAAAAAACTACAAAACTGCCAAGTTTCAGAAAAATCGTCGTATGGCACTTCCCTAGTGTTACTTGCCAGCAACTTAGAAAACCTGTAGATACCAAATTTCATAATAATCTGACAATTTTTTAAAAACAATTCCTTAATATTGAATCAGACATGTCGAATTTCGGAAATCTGACATCAGATTCGTAATCAGCGACCCAAAAAACCCCTAGATACCAAGTTTGAAGTAAATCTTAAAATTTTTTCAAAATTCGTCCGCCATATTGGATCCGCCATTTTGGATTTTGAAAATCTAACTTCAGATTCGTAATCAGCGACACAAAAAACCCCCAGATACCAAGTTTGAAGTTAATACATCAATTTTTAAAAAAATCGCCTACTTCACAAAATCCGACATGTTTTTTGAGGTTAGAAAAAAATCCTGACGTGATGGAGCAAAACGGACTTCGGATTCGTGTTCAGCGCGTCAAAATACATAGGGTTAGGGTATTCCGGTCAAAAGTACATGACACTTTTTTTTTTGTGGGGCTGTGTAATGAATAATTGTTTCAATAATAATATTTTGCTTCATACTTTGTAAATATATATGTTTTGCATTAAATAACGTTAACAAATGTTGCAAAACAGTCATAATTTAATAATATGTTACATTTTTATAATACGATGTCAAGTTTCATATTAAAAATTTCTATTATTTTTTTTTACGTTTACAGTACTGCTGATTATACGTCATAATTTGGTCAAAACCTAAAAACAATTTGGAGGAAAATTTGAATAGTCGTTCTCTTATCAAGTGTTACTTTTCAAATGTTGCCGAACAATAATTGTAATCATTATAAATTTTGAATTTTTTAATGTTTTTTAGCATAAAAAAATCACATTTTTAGTCGCTATGTAAGTATAAATGCGCATGCGTATAGCTGCAACAACTTATAATTAGTGTTGCCAAAATCCACGTTTCATAAACTTAAATTTTTGCCTGTCCCAGTGTTTAATGCCCCACTGTTTAAATTAAGCTATCGCAAAAAATTATTTAAATAAAAATTGTTTGTAAAATTTTAAAATATTTTAAATTATTGGATATTATACTTAAAAACATGAGTAAACGAAGTAACAATTACACTTTTTTAAAAACTGTCCTATCTATATAAAAATCAGCATTGTATTTCAAGAAAAAATTTACTCCGTAACGTCAAAAACAGTTTTTTTCAATTTTCTTTGTAAATAATGAATCAATGTGGCTAAAGTTTTTGGAGATAGTGTGTTGTCATAAACATGGTTTACATTTAAATTTTGGTCGAGTTTCTATAAGTAGTTTTTCAAACAATTAAAGTGTCCTACTGTTTAAACTGTCTCA